CAGTGCCGGTAACTGGGAAAGGGAGAGAAGCAACCAGGGGTCGCTGTCTTGGAATCATTTTATATCTGGGTGGGCGCTTTCCTGCCCTGGGTGGTGCAGATGACGCCCCAGGTCTTGAGCACTCATGACAGGCCCCTCTGGTTGACACTGGTCTCCCAGTGCCATGGGCAGATCTGGGCTCTGAGACCTTCAAAGCCTGAATGGGGGCCTGGGAGCCTCTGGCCAGGGCTAGATCCCTGTCCCCACACCCTGACCCCTGGGTGGACCAGGAAACTCCCTGCCTTGTGGTTTTGTCCCCACCCTGGGCTCTGCCACCTAGTAGTGGTCCACAGCCTCACTCTCTGGGGACCCACCTCGCAGACCCGGCCTGCCCCCAAGACACCTAGCATAGCCTCCTTGAAGGCTTGTGGGTGGCTAAAAAGCTGGGAAGCAGGTGTCCTGCAGGCCGGTTCAGCATGAGTCTGAGAAGGGCCCTGGAGTGACCAGCTCTCTTCTCCAAAGATGGGGAGAGGGAAAACACATTATACACATACTAACCAAACCATGGTTCAGATAGACAAGTAGGGGTTGGGTTCGTGGACAGGCAGGACAGACAGACCCGCGATAAAATAGACAGGATAGTAGATAGCATAGACAGAGCAGACCAGACCAGGAGGCAGGAAGACCAAGAGTAAGAGTAGATGATAGGTAGATAATAGATAGACAGACCAGACAGACAGAACGGACCAGATAACGATCGATAGATGATAGCGTAGATAGCTCAGACAGACAGATCCAGCACAGACCAGAGATCCGCAAGTTGACTCCATGCTGACACCAGTCCTCTGTCTAGTTTCGTCTATAAGAACATACCTTAATTGGGTGGTTAGAATACAAGCTTGATTGTTACCCATTGTCTAGGATAGTGGGGTAGAGTGCAACGATCCAAGGAGGCGATGGGAGCAGGAGTTGAGCAGCCCGCAGCGGGGAGTGGAAAGCACTCATGCGCGGTAACGACAAGAATACCGTGTACGCCAGAAGCAACCGGCCACTCGCTAGAGTACTCCCAGTGAGGGTTTCAACAATATCGAAATTTGGAGAAGAGACCACCAAAACTGGTTGTAGACGTAGTACCTCATTCATTATCCCCATGGTGATTTTGGCTGAATTACTTAGCATTTCTAAGAATGCCTGCCGTATTTAACTTGGTTTATACAGTAGTCCGTTTTAGCTAGGCGCATATGCCCCTATATAACCACAGTCCTTCTCCATCTCTCTCACATTGTATTCCGAGGGTTTTTGGACACGATAGTATGTTCGATGATAAAAAATGGTATGTTTTAATATCAAAGGTCTCTGGATTCCCAATTCAGATTAATGCCAATTACGATTTCATAGCCAGTGCCTATATGGAACCACATAACTTATTAAAGCCTCTTAGCAATCTCAAGTAAAACTATGTAGAGGCACTGAGATTCAAAGTTCCCACGCAGGACAGAGGACAGGGCTGCTGTGGGGCTGCTGCTGGTGGGTGTCTGGAGATGGGGGGTGGAGGTACGTTTAGTCCAGCTACCAAGAGTTTGCTAGGCAGCTACTATGTGCCTGGAGTCAAGCAACCTGAGTAAGGCATGGGGCCTACCCTTGGGTAGCTTAGCATCCACTGTCGCGTAGTAGGAGATGATAGAAGCTTGTGTGAGGCACAGAGGCTCTGTCCAGGGCCAGGAACAATCCACAGGGATGAACAGGGGCCCCAGGAGCTGAGGAGAGCATGACAGCACACAGACAGAGCAGGGACTGGCACAGCGTGCAGGAGTCACGTGGGAACTGCACATTCCGCGTGACTGCCTGTCTGTGCTGGTGCCGCCTGATGGCTGTCATTTGTAAAATGCGGACAACAAAAGTACCTCCATGCCATGCTGTTGTGAGGACTGACAGAGGTGATTCACATAAAGCACCTAGAAGAGAGGCCGGCGCTGAGTCAGTGGTGGAGAGACACCTGCTTCCAGCATCACGCTTGTGTGAATACAGCTTCGTGTGTCTCTGTCATTTACATCCACGTGGTGGTGGATGCTGGCCTGGGTGCTGGCCCTGGCTCTGCAGCCACTGCTTTCTTGGGCTCAGTCTCCTGCCTGAGATGTGGTCTGGGGTTCTAAGTGTTCCCGGCTTGTGTGAGGGCCGTGTTCGCACGCATAGACACCCTGCAAGTCTTCGTCAGCGACACAGCCTTCGCTCTCAGCCGTGCCTTTCCTTATCTGCCCCTGGCCCTGACCTGCCGCTTCCACCCTCTTCACTTAAGCGAACTCTGCCTCTGCCCCATGAAGTCCTCCCTACCTCGGCTGCTCTCTCTTCTGAGGCTCCTGCCTCTTCTGAAGGTGGCCCAGCCTTGCACTGCCTGCACATTGCCTGCTGTGTGTCCAGCTTCCCCGAGGGCAGGGATCCTGTCCTATTCCTCTTTGTCTAGCACAGTTCCTCACAGGTGAGGCCCAGTGAGTGGAGTGCACACTTAGTTTCGCACAGGGCTGGCCAGCAGTGTGTGCTGCCTCCTCCTGGTCCTGAGCTAAGCCCGTGGGGTGCGAGTGTGCCTGTGGGTGTGTACTTGTGTGTACATGCATGTCCCAGGCCACTACTTCAGAGAAGAGACTGCTCTCTGCAGCACCCAGTGGGAGCTGGTCCTGAGTCTTGGGGAGATGGGGAGGGGCCTTCCAGTTGATCCATGATGCCCCTGGGGCTCAGAGCTCCCCACATCTACTTCCTCTACTTGCCTGATGTTCCCCGGGGCCAAGAGCAAGGCCTCAGGTCCAGGGGGTGGGGGTGGGGAGTGGGGTGGCAGAGAGAAAGGGGACCAGAGTGGGCAGATGGGACTGCTTTGAATTTTCTGACATGGACACATTCGGATCCTAGAGCAGCGCTGTCCAGGAGAACTTTCTGCAATGAAGGCAGCGTCCTACATCTGTGCTGTCTGATCGGAGCTCACTAGACACATGGGCTAATGAGCACGAGAAATGCAGTTGGTGTGACTAAGGAATTGAATGTTGTATTTAATTGAGCTGGAAATAGCCACATGTGGGTGGTGGCTGCCATATTGGACAGGACAGCTCTGAGGTCCATTTGCCCATCGTTTATGTCTGGTCAGGCCGGTGGGTGTCCCTGGAGGGATTTGCTGCGTCTCTTCCTGGAAAGGAGAAAACCTTTCTGTCCCCCAGCATTCTGTCTGATGGCTCACACTGGAGGGTTCCTGTGGCAGCTTAACTGAAATCTCTCTGCTGGTTACAGCTCAGTCTTACGGAGCCGCAGTAGCCAGCCCCCCGGGGAAGGAGGAAGGCAGCCCCGTGGATAGAAGCAGCTTGGACAGGAGCTTCCTGGGCTGGATCCTGGCAGGAGACGGAGTTCTCCTGGCACAGCCGGCTTCCTGGCCACAGAGGCCCCAGAACGGGAAGGCAGCAGGGGTGGGGCCTGGAGGAGGTCGTCGGAATAGGAGAGGAACCGGGCTTCAGCAGGTACTTTTCATGGCAGTGGGGACATCTACGGATGTGACCATGTTTAATGCTCATATGCCCTAAAGAGGCTTCATTTTAAGGATGTGACATCTGAAGCTCAGAGAGAGTAAGTAACCTGCCTAGGGTCACCCAGACAGGAAAGAACAGTTAGGGTTTGAACGCATGTGGGCTTAGCCTTCAAGGCCATATGGGGCATGGCTTACATCCTGCTGGAGCCGGTCTACTGAGGCGGTGATCTGCGTGGCTCCAGGCTGCCCGTAGTTCTCAGCCAGAGTCTGGTTCAAGTGCTGCTTCAGTTCATCACTCAGCTGAGGAGGGTAAGAGGGAAGGTGCCATCAGCAGGACCAGCCCCATCCCCGCCCTGGCCCCAGGCCTACTCACAACCCCCCCACCCCCCAGCTAATTCTAGAACACTGTGGACTGTGGATGGTGTGATGCAGAGGTTTCTCAGCAGTGTAAGGGACCATCAGCCAGAGACAGCGCAGAAGACAGCTATGGAGAGGAAGATACCAAAACTGGGCCCCCACTTAGGGCAGAGGTGTGATGGGCAGAGCTGAGAGAGGCTGGGGAGACAGCTCAGGTAAAGGGTCACATCCAGAAGCTGGTGGGAGGCGGTGGTGAGGCCAGACACACGGTGCTTTGAAACGTCTGTTGATCTTAACTGTGATCATGAGGTGATATTGAAAGTATTTATAATTGTTACCCTCTGGGCGTCATATCAGCACTGGCTGGAAACAACCAGCAGGGTCGTACTGTCTCTACCAACCAAACATTACCCTGGTCATGACCTCAAATTCCCGATTCAGCGGGCTCAAGGGTGGGAGTGGATAGGACTGACTCTGGGACTCACTCCATCCTTTTTCAATCCAGGCAGGCAAGGCCTGATCCTGTTTCAGGGTCTGGCATGTGACCCTGGCCCAGGCCTTTTTTCTTGGATGTCTCTGACAGATGGATTCATCCTCTAGGCCATCCTTGGAAGGGGAGAGGGATGACCCAATGTCCCACGGGAAACCCCCGTCCCCCGCTCCCACATGGAAGACATCAGCATCCACACATGCAGGACAGAATTGCTGGAGCTGGGACCAGCAGCTGGGATGCAGATGTGTAGGGGGATTGCCAGGGCCTGGGAAACAGGACCACCCCTGCGCCCGCCTCAGCTTCCCTCATCACAATGCAAACCTCCCTACCCACATTGCTTCTTCAGGGCACTGACAGAGGATGCAGGAGGAGGAAACGTCACTCACCCTTCGGTAATACACATGGGCCAGGACTCCCGCCACCAGCTCAACCAGGAAGATGACGAGCAACAGGCAGAAATACTAGGAGCAAGGAGAGAGGACGGTCACCACCGGGATCAGGATGCTGCTATGACAAACGTTTCCCCACAGTGGTGGGGGTGGTAGAGATACCTGCTGGGACCCCTATCATCCAGACCATCTTCCTCCTGGATGTACCAGTCTCACTGGCTGCCAGTACCAAGTTCCCCACTTACTCCTTCCCTCCCTCCTTGGTCTGCTGACAATTCAGTAATGCATCTACCCATCCAATATGTATTCAATACCTGCTATATGCCAGATGCCAGGTAGCGTAAGACAACTATTGCTCTCAGAGTTATTGATGGTGGGAAGACAGATGAGTGACTGCAATGCTGTGTTATAAATGTCACTATAGGGTAAGCTCTAGAGATGGTGGGAGGCTCCTGGTAGGGTGGGCAGTCAGAGAAGGCTTCCTGGAGGTGGTGACACCTAAGTAACATCTTTAAGGACTGAATAGGCATTTGCTAAGTGAAGGAGGGAAGCACATTCCAGAAAGAGGGGAGAACAAGTGAGAAGCCATGGGGCATTTGTGTTCAGGGAGTGGACAGTACCCTTGTAGTTGGAGTGCAGGGACCAGGGTGGACTGTGACAACCAAGGCTCAGGAAAAACCAAATCAGAGATCCAGGGGAAGGCGCTTCCTGTGCTGTCTTTCAGCCCTGATGCCCATTTCCTGTTCTTCATGGCCCTGCAGGGTTCTCATTCCCCTCACCACTGCTCTTCCCACCTCCCAGGCCTGCTGCTGCTGCTGGCTTCCCGGCCCTGCACTCAGTGTGACCTGTAGAAGGACACGGGTGCTGCTTCCTTCTCACTCCCACCTGGCTTGCACAGTCAGGGGGAGCTCCTGAGACCCTGCTCGACCAATTCTGCTTGCAGGAGCCAACAGGCCTAGAAGGCATGTTGGGCCTCCCTCTCTCCCAACCCTGGAGGAGCGGGGAGAGGGGGATGAAGCTGGCTACAGGCAGCTTCATGGCAGGGATGGAGCTCCCAGGCAGGGACAAGGGAAGAGAAGAGAGGAGAAGAGAGAGGGAGAGAGGGAGAGAGGGGGAGAGAGGGGGAGAGAGGGCGAACACTATTGATCAATACCGGCCCCACTGTGGGGAAGCTCAGCCCGACTGAAGAGCACCTCCCACCCGGGCTGCCCCCAGGCACTCCCCATCCACCTGGCCACAGTAGGGCAGCTGCCCATGGTCACTGGGATGGCTGGATTCTAGGGAAGGCCCAGCCTGTGGGTGAGACTGAGACTAGGCTTCACCCAGCAGGGAAAGGAGTGTGAGCAGGAGGTATATGGTGGTGGGTGGTGGTGGGGGATGCCCAGGACAGACAGGGCATTTCAGAGGCAATGCTAATCCATGGGCCCATGGGACTCGCCCAACCATCTCCTGCACCACTCAGCAGGGAGCCTGGCATGGGCAGGGATTAAGGAATGTAGGAGAGGGGCCATTTCTTTTCACAGGGAAAGACTGGAGGTGGTGACACCTAAGTAACATCTTTAAGGACTGAATAGGCATTTGCTAAGTGAAGGAGGGAAGCACATTCCAGAAAGAGGGGAGAACAA